TCATTTTGCTGTTTTGACGTTTCGAAAAGAAAAAGTCGTGCATAAAATTTGCTATACACAAATGTTAATATTCACACATGTTTGTGCATATATACCGACGTATTAAAACAGAAGGAGAATGTTACATAATAAACAACCATTTTTATTGTTACATTTCTTTTTATTGCCACACTTCGCCATCGATCATTTTGTTCGGTGTAAAAATAGAGAAAAAATATGGATGAAACAAAAACATTTCACTGAATTTATTGTGTTTTTGTTGCTGTTGTAAAACAATGCTTTCGACTCATATTATATTCATGGATGGGCATTGGACCCATTGCACTCGTCGTAAAAGGGAATGTTGTCACTTACAGACACATGCACACGCACACTTACCAGTATGGGCTCGTGTATGAATACTAGTGTAATGCCGTGAAAATTGACAGTGAATGTCACATGCGGTAGCAAAAATAAGAAATAGCCATTAAAGTATTGAGTGCTTGCAAGAATGTCATTGCTGACGTTTATGGCATTGCCACACTTGTCAATGGCGAGGGAATGATGTAGTGAGTGAAGGGAATCGAAAGGAAAGAAAATGAAAAAAAAAAGTTGAATAAAATTAAGACTAAAGAAATATATAAAAAATCAGTAAAAATAATTAAAAAATATTAATAAAAAATATGGAAAATAAATAAATATAACAAAAAGTGTAAACGTAAAAAATTACGTTAAATGTAACAAAAAGTTATTTGAAATTTTTTAAATGGGCTTTGTATTGTATTGCAATTCGAAAAGTATAAAAATGTTGGTTTTTGTTTTTAATTTTACACTGGGTGTACACCTTACATTTATTTTCTATTATAAATGACTTTTTAATTTTTCTCATTTTTCTCTCTCCACAATTTGTGGCATTTTCTGAATTATTTAACGCTTACAACACACAGTTGCCAACTGTCAATGGTAATTTGCAATTCGTGTGCGCTTTTAATTTTTATTTTTACACAATTGTCGTATGATTCGTTGAGTTGGCGAGTCGTTCCTTGCTTTCTTTGAAATGCCTGAATTGCAAAAGCGTGGAATTGTTAACCCTTTTTGGCAGCAGTTAAATGGCTCTTGCCATAAACATATTTAAATATATACATACATACCAATACATATGTATAAATACATATTCATCAGTGTGAATGCATGCGGTTGCGAGCACGTAACGATCATTGCTGTCATAACTTCCGGAAAAAAAGAATAACAAAATACCCCTCTGTGGTGAACATAAAAACTGTGAAGCTAAGCAAAATTATGTGTGCATAAGTGCTATATTATTTTGCCATGAATTTGTAGTTGCTTTTTTTATTTTATTTATTTTTTCATTTTAATTTTATTATAATTTTATATATGTATGAGCGAAAAAATGTTTAAAATGAGGAAAAGTAACACGGAAAACCTAAATAACTCAAGCAGCAATTAAACTGTTGAACATTTTCCCATAGTAAATTTGATTTTATTAATAAGGCGATAAACATTTGTGATTTATATTGCATTATAAAATGGTTTCAACTCAGAAAATTATACTTAGCACTTTGTATGACTCATTACCGCGGCAGAAAATAATGTGAGGGCTTCGAAAGGCTTTCGAAAGGGTGGTGCGAGTTTTTAATGGTTACTAGCGCTTATCACGAAAGCTGAGAAATATTTTGATGATACATATTCACGTACATATGTATATGTTCGGAGCAAACTAGTGTTTTGACAACGAATGAGAAATATGAAATTGGTCCTGTATTTTTTCCCAGGTTCCAATAGATCTGTAATTTTTTCTTGCAACCATCTGATACAAGTTGGATACCTTTTCATTTTCATTTTCAACTCCAATATTTTTCTAGTTTATCTTATTACTTTACTTTGAATTTTGATTACTGTCTTGACTGCGCTTCATAAGATTAACGAACTTAGCGCTTAAATAGTTTTGTTAAATTTCTTGTTAAATTTTCCTTTACATTTAGCGATTATATATATTATATAAAATTATAATTATAATTAGAGTTTCACCTTTTCTCCATATTTTTTAATGTTGTACTTTTAACAGTGGTTGTTTATATAAAAAAGAGAAAATCAGAAAACAATAAAGTAGCTAAAAGTTAAGAGCGAAGAAATCAGAAGCAATTGTAGAATGCTTTATAAAGGTGTGCTAACCTGGTGACAACAGTGTACACTTATAATCAGTTAAAAACTGGGCCATGCCTAGTTCGCCAGCTCAACTAATGGCATTTTCTATTAATCCAGGTTTACCTTAGACACCAAATTTATTGTCATAAAAAAGTCCTCATTGGAGGGAGTAAATCTGGAAGCGATTCAAGTGATTTAAATTTAATACATAAAATTCATGAATTTTTAGAAGAAAGATAAGCAGCACACAAAATCGAGTACGAAACCGGTGAGAGTTAATTGGACAGCTAAAAGGCAGTGCCATTAAAAAATGTGTCACTGCAATTGAAATATAGTACACAAATCTGTGAGTCCATGAAACTTCCCATAAATGTGTTCAATGCAACCAGAATAAATAGTGGTGTGAAATATATTTGTTTTACTTGGTCGTTTGCTGATCGCTTGAATTTCTTATTCTTCTATTGACATATAAAGCTCTATAAACGTAGATAGATAACTTGACCCACTTTTGTTGTAGTTGACACCAACGAAACACCAATTTGCAAATTCACCAAAACAACATACCTAAGGCGATATAAAACGCGACAATCTAACTAAATAAGCGACGAGGGAACAACAAAAGCTTTCATTCATTGAGCTGCGACAATGAGTTCACTTTCAGCAGCATTGACAACACACTGCCACATATAAAAAATGTATTTACATCTGTTTGGATGTGTGTTTACATAAGCAACTCTGGTTTTTCATTGTGCTTTTCGCAAAAATAGCGTAGAAAATTTCTTAGAATTGCATAGAAATAAAAAATTAAGCGAAATTAAATAAATAGTAATTGAGCGACAAATGTTTCAGGCAAATTTTAACCATGAAGAAATGGCACAAGAAGTTAAAGAACCTTCACGGCGTTAAAAGGAAGAAATATATGTATATAAATAAGAAATTTAAATCATATTTAAAAAAGTACAAGAAAATGTAGTTGATTGAGAATATTAAAGATAAATTATGCTAAATTATGCAATAATCAAAAAAGAATTAATAAGTTTATTAAATCACAAAAATACTACTTTTGTTTGACAATTCCTTTTAGAAATTATTTTTTTTTTAAGTTTTAAAGTTTTTATTGTAATAATTTACAACTTTTATTTTTAATGTGTTTTTTTTATTATAACTTGGCATTGAACATGTTGTTTTTCAGTACATACAATGTTTTTTGCAAAATTAAAAAGAAAATATGCAATAATAAAAAAAAAAAGAATTAATGTAACTCATTATTATGAAAAAATTTTTTTCTTTTGGAAATTAAATTTTTTATTTTTATTTTTTTAATAATTTACAAATTTCTATTTTAGTATTTTAAAAATGTTATTTTTAATGCAATTTTTTGGGAATAAATATTTTTTAGTTTATTTTTAATTTTAGTAATTTAAAATTTTTATTTACAATGCAGTGTCGTTTAGAAATTTTTTTTTAAGTCTCTTTTAATTTTAATAACTTACAAATTTAATTTTTTATGTTTTTTTAATTATCACTTCAAAGTAATTTTTTCGGAATATACTTTATTTATTATATTCTCTGTTTTTAATAAAAAATTCAAAGAATTTTATAATGAAAGTTCGAAGTATCCAGATAATGAATTGACAAGAAAACAATGCAGTTTATTATTTATGATCAACAATTTAATGACATGTAATTTATTATGAGAATGAACATGAAACTTTTGCTTGCGAAAATGTTGGAAAAATTGGTATTTTGTATGAAGCATTTCACATGGTAGAAGCACAATTGACAACGATAATTTTTTTAAGATTGTGAAAAGGTTTAAAATATTGTGTAGATTTTTAGAATTTATGTATGTTAAGTATTAAAAAAAATATTTCAGAGAAATCATTAACAAAGCTTGAGGGGTAATCCGTACATTACTTCATTTTGGTTTTGAAAGATACGCGTGATGTCTTGCTCTAAGGCATGAATCGAAGCGAGATTGTCCGCATAGACTTTAGACTTTACATATCCCCACAAGAAAAAGTCTAAACGTGATATCACACGATCTTGGTGGCCAGTCGACCGACCCAAAACGTGAAACTCACCGAAGTGTTCACTCAATAAATCCATTGAACGGAAATGGACACTTGCATACACATTAATATTTTGCTGTTTATATTTGTAGAATTAGTGACAACATCTGAGAAAATTATTTTCCCACCGCATTGACAAATTGACCTGCTTTATTTGGATGAGAATGACATATGTACCCATTAAATGGGTCAATAGTAATTTTTTCACTAAAAATAAATCCGATAAATTCATGAAACTGAATTCATTAATAATTATTTCAAAATTTAGATAAATTCGCCTATATACTTAATCTATAATTATGAATCCTCCACTTTTCTCAAGTTATTAAAAATGAACTTTGCCGTTCTCATACACAGACAACAAGAGAAATAAAATAATGGGGTAACCGAGCATCACGATAGTCTCCGCGTAGTGAGTGCGACCAGGGAAAGCTACCTAATATATAAAAAAAATATTGGGTCTTAGCGAGCCTATTAAATTAGTAGAAAGGTTTTTTGGTTAAAGTATTATGAAAGCTCGCGTTGTTCTTACTCACCTGACTGAAGAAACTTACGATATTCGAATTTAAAAATTAAAGTGAGAAAATGTATTTGTTGAGAGATTTTCGACGGATCATTTTTTAAAATCAAATTTTCGGAGGTGGCATATTATACAATTTAGACAGAGAAAGCTTACTGAAGGCGTATTTGTTCAAGATATGTTGAGGAAGCTGTGGAGCTTACACAAACACCATATTTTTAAATGAAATGTAGATATCTTGCTTATTTCCGATGAATGCCTACCTTTTTGCAGCTGTTGCTGTTGTTGTTGGTATAAATGATGGTGTAGTTCACGCCATGGTTGCCAAAACAAACTATTTGCCACATTCGAATTGTTTTGCTGATCGCGCGCGTGCCACAATTGCGCATGCGCCTGTTCCGCCTGATTGTGGTGATGGTGCTGTTGTTGCAGATGCGACGTCGGTGGTGGAAGCGTTAGTGGCAGCGCTGATACATGCGGCAGATGCATATGCGCCGCTGCTCCGCTTGATGATGGCGATGCCTGCGCTGTTGCTGTTGTTGTTGTCGCTTTCGCATGCTGCGTGCTCGCGCGGTTAAGCGCAAACTGTTGTTGCTGTTGTGCCAAATGTTGCTGCTGCTCATGCTGCAAATGTTGCAGGTGATACTGCGCGGCCATAGCGGCGGCTGCTTGTGCCGCGGTGAAATGTGGCATTTGTCGAGCGGAAAGCGGTTGTGCTTGCAGCGCCGTCGCAGGAGCATGCTTTTGCGTACCTTTATGTCCATTCGTTGTTGCCGTTGCTGTATCTTTACCATGCGCTAGGCTCGTCTGTGCTGTGTAGGGGTTGCTATGCGTGCTCGCCGTTGGGCTGCCGGTAGGCAGCGCTGCTGTGCCGTTGCTGCCCACAGCTGATGCTGGTGAAGAGGATAGAGATGAGGCCGCGGAGGAGGAGGTCGATGGTGAGTTAGAGGAGGTTGCGGATAACGCGCTTGCAGTGTTGTTGTTGTTGGTGGACATGAGGGCTGTGTGGTTGCGCGCCGCTAGCGTGTTCTGCGCGGCCGCTGTAGCTGCCGCGGCAGCATTGGCGACGCGCTCAAATTGCTTGATGTGGTTGTAGTAGTTTTGTTCGAAAGCGTTTAACAGCAGATACTCCATTTTGCCAACGCTGGGTTGATAGCTCGATTTACAGGGTGTATATTTGTGTTTTAATGGGTGCCGCAATAAGTTTAATAATGATTTCTCGAAAGTGTCAGCACACAAAAGGCGCGTAGTCGCCCATTTTTGTTATATATTGATTATTTTTTGTAATGTTGTTTTATTAAGTTTACTTATTTTTTGTGTTTCACAAGTCACTTTTTATTCTAAGTTAATACCTTTAAAGGTTTTTCACTTAATCATTCATTATTGAGAAGGATTTAGACACTCTATAGAAAAAAAATTAAAAAATTTTAATTTCTAAATGAAAAATAATTCTAATAATTTATAACTGTAATGGTTTTTGTTTTTTTTTGGTTAATATTACGACCGATTTTAGTTAAATTTGCATCAAAAACCATTTCACACAATTTATTTTGCAGTTCAATTTATGTTTTCGATTTTCTTCAGTAATAAAATTTATGACTCAGCTCATTAAAATGCTTGTGACTTTCTTAAGGCATTAACTTTTAATAATTGTAGCATTCATAATGGTATTTGTGGCCATCGCAGAGTTATGTGGTTCTTTTTGTGATTTTTTTTTGGGAAAAAAAATTATAATTTGCCATGCGCATATTGCTGCCATATTTGGCGACGCAGACGTGTCAATGTGTCGTTTGCAACTCCAAACCAGTAAATATTTATGTATTTATGTACATATGTGTTTGTATGTATGTATTGTAATCGCGGTTTTCACGAATCGTTTGAAGTTCACGATTCGATTTTTTAGCATTCAAATGAATGCCTCAATACGAAATAATATGCGAAAACGTGCTTTGCATATTAAAGCATATTACAACTAAAGCATAAAAGCGAAAAAATTTACGTTACAACAACATCTAGCATTTGGATTCGAATGTTTTAGCGTTCTTAAGATATTTTTGTAGTGTCTTTAATTTGAAATATTATTATTTATTTTGTTTTAGTATTTTTTAATTAAAAATTTTGATTTTTTTGTTGTTTTTATAAATAATATTCAACTGCTGATATTTTTTAACTTTTTCAAACTTAGTAAACTGCATTTTATTTTCTTGCATGATTGCATTTATATTTGTTTCTTTATGTTTCGTTGAAAATTACATTCAATAATTAGTTATCATAGTTTTAATTTTACTTTGTATAACGAGAGTTAAAAATATGTGTGATCAAGATTTTTAGAAAACGCAGTAACTGACCGTCAGGCATGATTTAATTCCTATTATCTGTACTAGTTAAGGACTTTCTTAAAATAAATTTTCAATATGAGAAATCTGCAATACAGTTTTTTCTTTTTATATTTAGTCCCCGAAAAATGCCATTAATAGAGAAATAGATTAATTGAGATTCAACAACTGATTAAGCCAGGAATACCACAATCTTTGTTTTGAAATTTTGATTGCTGATGTCTTCGATTGGTATAGTCTACTAGCTTCAATACTGCCAAGAAATTATTCTCAATGGAAGCACATCAAAATATACAAGCGTATAACCTCACTTTTGCAGTGCTACCATTTTGAATGGTGTAAGTGAAAGTAATAAAGTTAGTAGTTGAAGCATAAGACATTTTTTTTTCAAGTAGGTATAGGTTAGGAAGATTTCCAATTGAAAATACGAGTTCTCAATATTTGAACTTTTGTAAATTATCTATTTTAAATGTTAAAGTTGAAATTTGTATTTCAATTTAATTTATTTATTAATTAATATTTAATAGTTTTTATTAGTTTGTCAAATTTTTTTAGTTCTAATTGATATTTAGTTGTTGTAAAAAATAATATTTTAATTTTTAAGTTAATTATTTTGAATCAAAAAGTAAATTATTTTTTTATACATTCTTTTTAAGTTTGAATATATTTTTAAATTTTTAAAATTTGAATTTGAATTTCAAATGAATTTTTTCTTTAATTAAAAAATTTTTTGTTCAAAAATTTTAAAACTAATTTTTTATTTTTCGCAAAAATGGTATATCAATTATTTCAAATTAAAATTTTTTAATAAACTTTCTGATGTTCTATTGTATGTTTTTTTTTTACATCCTTTTATTTTAGTTCACTGTGTTAAATTTTTTTGCACGACTTTTTAAGTGGTAAAGTATTAAGGTTTTTCATGTTAATTTATTCTGTTTTAATATTATTCAATTAATATTTATTCAGTACTGTTGATAATAGTTATTAGATAGATACATAATAGTTATTAGTTATATAATAATGCATGATTTTTTATTCATTTTTTATTTTTCTGTGTGTTTTATGAATTCAAAATATTTTTTTCTTTCCGCTTTTTGTTGTTTTAATTCGTTCTTACATTTCATTAAACATTTCCTACTATCTGAAAATTATTGTAATAATTTACATTTCATATTTTATCGCACAGAAAGCTCAGCAAATAAGGGCTCGCATTAATATTTTGCAACATTTTATTTTACAACGGTTTTATGTGTTGTGCAAACATTCACGACGCTTGCCGACACTGTCACTGCCTGGCTTGAAATACACAAAGCGCGCACACACACATGCGCGCGTTGGCACTCGCTTGCTTTGGTTACAATTACATGTGAATAATTAAATAAAAAAGAAACACGGGATAAAATCAAAAGAGCAATTTTGCACTTCATTTGCATGCAAAGCAGTCACTTGAAGTCACTTTTTGAAGGACCAATTGACAAGCAGTCTTTTTAGTTATTGACGCATGCGCGCGTCTGTGTACGCCGTGAACGCTCGCCGGGGGCCAGCGCGGCTGTGTGGGGCGCGGCTGAACAATAGAGAGTCAGCAGACAATTACAATTGAGTACGCGCTTGGTCGCTGCCTCGATCAATTACACTTTGCCTGAACTTGAGTGGAGGTTTTCAATTACAATTAGAGTTTGTTGTTACAAAAAAGGTAAAAAATACAAAAATATACACACGCGCTAGCCATAGCCAAGCAAATACAGTCGCCGCATGCTGAGTAACTGTAAACGCTGCTGCGGCCGCATTTGCTCATGCAACCGCTCAAGGGAGGCGACAATTGCAGCCGGAGCTAGGTCAGGATTGGCGCTTAGCCGTGGAATTACCAGTTGGTGTTGGACGCTGCGAATTAAGGTTAAACGGAAGCCGTTGTTTGCATTACTCGGCGGTTGAGTCGGCGGCAACGTTGACGGCGCAGCAAAAACGACAGCAATAACCAGTTGCTAATGTTGCTAATTGCGCACACAGATATACACTTTTGCCAATTCACTTTCATACAAAATGAAAACTAATTTTTCGCTTTTGCATTAATTTATTGCCATGCGTTTGCCTTAAACGCCACAATTTTTAGCGCGTTGCCTTTTACATAATTTCTTTCTTAACTACTTTTCAAACAATAGTTGCTTTTGTGCACTTTAATTATTTTTTTATTTCAATTATTTTTGTTGCGTTTGCTTGTGCGCGCAAAAATCTCGTTTTATCCGCGAAGTAGTGCTTTATCGAGAAGCTACAAACCGAAACTAAGCTCAAAACATTGATGATCTTTAAGTGCTGTACGCCGCCACTACAAACACACACAAGCACAACCCAGCAATACCAGCGCAGTCTGTTCAAGTCAACTGAAGTCAAGTCGGAGGCGCGCTCCATGCCACTCACTTACGTATATGGCAGTCAAGCCAAGCGGCAACAAGTCTCCAAACGGGTTGGCACTCTCGCGCTGCGCTGTTGATTACTGCGCGCTCTGCTCGCTTTGGTGCGCGTTTGTTTACATTCCTTGTAGGTCTGTATTTAGACGCGGCGCTGGCATGAGTCAGTCGGCCGCTTAAAAAGTTGTATGAAACTAATGTCGTGAAAACCACTCCACATTTGATCTTTTGCTGTGCGCTCAGCGCTTGTCTAAGCCGCGCAATTATCTAGCGCGTCTTCGCAAGTCTCCAAAGGCTGAGTGTCGTTTAAGCTAGCGCGCGCTTGTGTGTGTTGGTGCGCGTTACTCTAGTTTACGTTTTCTTATGCTCAAAGCTGCGCTCTTTGTATCCGGTTGCTCTCCCGAGTGCGCGCTGCAAAGCGCTAGCTGGTCTATGACTTGCCGTCGCTAGACATACGCGTCTTGCAGACGCAATCAAGTGTTGGATTTTTATTTAAAATTTTTTTTATTGTTATATTCAATTTTGTGTTGCGTCTTTTCTCTATTTCGTTGTTTATTTTCTTTTTTATTGATATCTATTTTCGCCGACTTATTGCTTTCTTGCCGCCATTCACGCCGCCTGGTGTGTCACAGGCGTACTTGTTGCTCGCGAATTTTCGTTTTAGTTATTTGCTTTGATTGCTCGTTTGTATTAGATTTCATTTTTATATTTTGTTTTATATTTTTTTGCTTTTATTTTTCGCTTGCCGTCGTTTCCAGTCTCCGCACGTTAAAGTTTATTTTCGCGCTGCCGCATTTGGTTAACCGCGTTGATCGCTGTTCAACGTCCAACTCGTTCGCTCGCCGCGCCGCTCGCTGCCGCTATTTATTGTTTGTTTTTTGATTTTTATTATGCCAACTTTTTTCCAACAATTCAATCATATTTTTTTATTGATTCGTCGTCATCTTGCCGCAGCGCCGCGCGTCGATAATGATTACAGCAACGGCTAGTTGGCCTTTCGTGTTGTGAATATTTCACTCACTTCGTTTCTTATTGATTTCGATCTTCATTTTATCTAATTGTGTTCTTTTTTTCTAGCAAATGGTTTCAGTTTCGAGTTCAACAGCATTTGGTACTAGGTGTGTAACAGCACACTCAAACGCACTCATTTACGCCCGGGTGTTACAGAAATAACGCTGACATTAGCATATTCAAATGTGAAATAGTTTGTTTATTGGATTTTTATTTTCAGCTTAAAATTGTTAATGAATTTGGAAATGCGTTGGCGCAAATCCAGTTTGCTTGCCTGCACAAACAACAACATATGCATGTGTGTGTGTGTGTATGGTCTGCTCAAGGAAATTATAATCAATATTAATTTTAGTGGCTCCCTAAAAATAGCGCTGTTAATTAATTAGGTAGCAAAATTACACAATTTTATACGAGTTTCACTAGATTTCCTCATAGATTTGAAGTAAGGCAGTTCATTGCTCTGGGGCGGGGTATCAAAGCGGCTAACGTGAAAAAAAGATCCACATGACGTGGGTTGGTATTATATATTCAAATGTGTCACGCGCCAAAGACGTTTTAGGCACAAGTTGAGAGCTTTTGAAGCACATAAACTTTGGCTTAAAATTAAACCAGGGTCATGGGGTACGGTGGTATACTCGATTTGGGGCGACAAAAGCGCTGATCCATTTCTTTGCCGTATTTTCAAAGTGGCTGTTCTACTAATGTCACAACTCAACGGAGCTGTGAAAAAGCGAGAAACTTGTAGGGCCAGCTGATGGTTACGAGAGAAGCAAAGTATTTCATTCATACCGGATTGATATTTCCGTTTTGATATATGCTTAATCAAGTTCCCGATAGAGATATTTGGCCAACATAATGGGCCATAAACAACGCATTGGTCTCATATTTCTTCAAAAGTTATGCCGGTGAGAACGTAACCGTCAATTTCGATTGTTATCGCGCCATGATAGTCGACCACTTGATGCTTGAAATTGAAGCTCGTGATCTCGGCGACATTTAGTTTTAACACGACTGCGCCATATTCTACACATTGCATCAATCAGTGGATTTATTGAGGGAACACTTCGGTGAGCAGATAATACGTTTTGTGCCGGTCGAATTCCCACCAAGATCGTGTGGTATCACACCGTTAGACATTTTCCTGTGGGGGTATGTATAATTTAAAGTCTTTCGCGTGTCATTTGCCAGTTACCAATCGAACGATTCATCGTAAATTGAACTCAACGCATAGACCTGACGTAGCCGGTGATAATATTTGAAAGAGATAATCTTCAAAAAATAAATGCCAAAGAATTTTCTTATGAATCATAATAAGCATTCCCTTTTCAATTTGCAGGTTCTGCCTTTTTTCGAAATGTATCATGATCATGACGATCAATAATTCTAACGAGTAATTTACTTCGGTAAGGCAATAAATGTTTTGAGAACTGTTGTTAATGAAGCTAAAGCAAAAAGAAAAAAATACTTCGGTTCTCCAACATAGCTAAGAAGCGTTGTTTCATCGACAATTTGGTCGGAATAACTGTCAGCATAACTTTACTACTTTTTACACAGAGTGGTGATATGGAAACTACAATCTTTCATCTAGATATATTAGACAGATATTGTGATTAAGAGCCGATATCAAAATTTTTATAATTAGCAATTAAATCGAAATCAAATAAATAAAATGTATGAATTTATATTTTTGTTCTACAGTCGTGGCCACGCAAACTTTACCACTATACTTTTTGAAATTTTTTTTCGGACTTTACCTTTCGTTTGGGATTTTCTTCAATTTTGTTTTTTGTAAGTTTTTAGTAAGCGGAAGTAAACTAAATTATATTATGTAATTATAATTACAGTTTGAAATTTATTACGTTTAATGAGTAAAACACAAATTAGCTTTCCTGTGCTTATGCATGAAACACCTACTACTACCAACTTCGTGTTCGAATAAAAAAAATATATTAATTTCAAATATAGTGTAAATGAAATTAAATTAAAAAAATAAAAAATATTATTTTTTCGTCGCATGTCAGTGTCTTACATTTCGAGCTCATTTTGTAAAGCTCACTATCTTTCAATTGATTTATTTAAAGCTGAATGTGTTTTGTTTTTAATTTTTGATATTTTTTATTAAAAATTCTATACCGCAAAAATTACCTCTATAAAATGTAGTCAAATATGCACAATACTTGAAAATGTGAAAATGAATGAATGAAAAACGAGTGTATATTCAGCTGTTCTTTGCAATATTTGTGAAAGTACCTTTCTTAAAGAAGAACTGTAACCCAAAGTAAAGTTTTAATAACGATTTTCATTAATTTTTACTTTATTTGCATCCAGAATTAAAAACGGAATTTAAATACGAGGTGTGTTCAAAAAGTATCGCGAATTTTGTGTTTTTTCAAAAATTATTTATTTATTCATGAATATCTATTTTGTCCCCTTCAAAGTAATCCCCATGAGATATTATACACTTGTGCCAACGGTTTTTCCAATCTTTGAAGCACTTCAAAAAATCATTTTTTTTTCATCTTCTTCAGCTCCTGCGGCATCGGCCATGCGGCTCCTAAGACGGCATCGAAGTCTTATCTCGTTAAGAGAATCGTAACGTCGTCCTTTCATGGGCCTCTTCAGTTTGGGGAACAAGAAAAAGTCACAGGGGGCCAGATCTGGGGAATACGGTGGCTGCGGCATCATTAGTGTGTTGTTTTTGGCCAAAAAGTCGCGCACAACCAACGATGTGTGAGCAGGGGCGTTATCGTGGTGCAAAAGCCAATTTTTGTCACATCTTCTCGGCCTTCTGAGAACATTTTGTACCACCGATAAACGTTGCTTCGGTCCAAGGTAGCTTCTCCGTATGCCACAGTCAACATTCGAAATGCATCCGCGCACTTAATTTCGTTTTTCACACAACATTTCATACAGGTTCTTTGATCCATTTTTTGGAGTAGGTAAAAATCGAAGACGATCCAAAACACGTGTAAGCAAAGTAGCTGTCAACAATTAAATGAACATGCAAAATGGCCGAGCTTGTCGGCATAAGTGAGAGACAYGAGTACCAACATAACGCTACAAAAAATTCGAAATTCGAATATACGTAACCCGCGAAAAGTCAAAATTCGCGATACTTTTTGAACACACCTCGTATATCCTAAACGGCTGGAGTTCTGCAAAAACAATTCAAGGATTTTACACGATAATAATGTACCTTCGCACTGAGCCACGATTGTGACCGAATTTGTCTTTAAATTAAATTAAAAATTAAAAGGCAATGAATACCAACGATTAACCACCGTATTCACCAGATTCCAGCTCCGTGTGATTTTTTTGTTCCCCAAACTGAAATTGCCGTTCCATGGAACCCGTTTTTAGTCGATCGAAGATAAAACAAAATTCGCTGAAGGAGCTGAATTTAATCCCAATAAGTGCTTAGAAAAGTGTTTCGAGGACGGGAAAAATCGTTGGTATAAGTGTATTACATCCTTTGAAGGCGACAAAATAAATATTGATGATTAATTCAATATTTTGTGTTTTATTTACAATTTCCTTGTACTTTTTTGTCACAATTTATATCGTTCAAATAGGATAAGGTAAAAAAAAAATTATCAAATAGTAAACTGTGCTCTAAAAGAGCTACACTTCGATAAGTTCCATTTTATTTTTACTTAAAATATGGAATTAGAGAAGCTAAAACTTTTTTAGTGGTATTGAAATAGTGTTTTTATTATAACTATTCAAATTCTGTGTAAACTAAATCTGGTTTGTATCATTTATTATTAATATAGTTTTTTCTTAAATTATTTTAAAATAAACATATTCTAGCAAAACATGAAATTCACTTGTTGCCAATGAAAAA